AACATATGTGTAAGCGCCAATCTATTATATCATAAAACTGTATACCCGAAGCTGTTCTGAAAATTCAGAGTAAAAAGCTCGAGATTTTTTCTAAAAGTTGCATGTAGCTCGAATCGTTAATTTGGATGGGTTTAGTTAAAGCGCGAATAATATTCTTATACAAACAAAAATTTACTTGAAAAACATTGTGAATATTAAAAAAAATCACCAAGGGGTTTTTGAGTCGCTGTATTTGTCTATGATAACTCCAGTTAAAGTTTTTTTTAATTATGAAGTTTCGTTGCTGCCTTAATTTCATCACTTTCGATTTCGGTTGAAGGAAACCGAGAAGATGCCATTAATATGTTCTCAAGTACCATATCATTAGTTAAATAAAGAGTTCATAAATGAAAACGTTTCATTTTTATTGAAATAGAACAAAAGTATAGTTTTTATTAAAATACCTAAAAAAAGTTAATGGTAGATATTTTCCAGATTTGTAAATTTTTTCTCAAGGGGATGGTAAGTATCTTTTTACGTCAGTTGCAACCATGGTTATAATGTAGTTACTTACTTGTAGGTCCTATTCCGTATTCCTCGGACTAAAACTAGTAAAACTGTGAAATAATAAGAATTCGCTCAGAACGAGAGAGTAACACTGGGTTCGCTTTCTAGTAAAAAATGGTAACTTCTGTCAACTTCAACATAACCTCCAAATTTTGGTTGTAAATTTGTGCTTATTTTGTATGTCAACACACAATGGAAGGAAATGAAAAAAAAAATACGTTTCATCACGCATTAGTAGAGTGGACTTTTCTTTTGTTTACAATTTGGCTGTCAAACACGCTACAGCTGATCGTCACATTTACCAGAATTTACCTGCAAAAATTATCGGACTAAGGGCCGTTTTTTCGAGTAACCTGTAACTATAAATCTGCTTTATGTTTAAATAATAATAATAATAATAGATTGGCGCTTACACATATGTTAGTGTTTGGCCGAGCTTCTCCTCCGATTTGTGGGGTGCGCCTTGATGTTGTCCGAACGGCGATTGTATTTTTATGAGAAGCTGTTTTTCATCGCAGAAATACACTCGGAGGTTTGCCATTGCCTGCCGAGGGGCGACCGCTGTTAAGAAAAAACCTTTTTTCTATATTTTTTTTCGGTGTTGCTATGACCAGGGCTTGAACCCAGGTGCAGCGGAGTGGAAGCGCATTAAAATTTATAATTGTGTCCATTGTGAATTTTATCAACTTTTTTTAATTGGTTTTCAGCCAAGAAACATAGATACGTCAAAAAACGATAAGAGAAATGCTTAACTTTAGACATAGCTTTATTTTTAATCCGACCTTTAAATATAAAGTTAGCTTTAAAATTAAAGGTTACTTCAGTAAACGGCCCTAAAAATGGTAACTTCTTTTTTGTACTCTCAATAGTCATAGAACCGAGTACGGGATCAATTTTCCGTAAAATCTGACTAGTTTCTGACTAGTCCGGACTCATACAGGATAACAATTTATATATGTACATATGTATGTATGCCACCGCGTCTGAGAAAAGTGTCATCAATTACATTTTTTTTCACTTGGGACTAATCAATTTGCATTTTTAAGACCTTAAACTATATGAAACCTTCATAAACCAAATTGCGGGTTTTTGGTCGGTAATAACTAGATACCCTTTTCTCAGACCCCGTCACCTATTTGTGTATTACATAGAGAGTGTACTCTCTTCCTCAAATTCGTTAAGCCGAATTTGGTCTGATGAATACATGCCCGAAGACTGGAATCTGAGTATACTTTGTCCAGCCCACAAGAACGGAGGTCCCGCCGTTTGCGCCAATTATCGCGGAATAAGCGTACAAGATCTGCCCAACGATACTGCGTGAAAGACTGACGCCCTTCACGAACCAAATAATTGGACCTTAACAGTGTGGTTTAAGACCTGTTAAATCCACCATTGACGAGATTTTCAAAGCACGTGAAATCCTGGAACAGACACTAGATATGCAAACCGATACACACCATCTTTTTGTTGATTTTAAAGCGCTGCCGATACGACGTCATGTCTAAATTTGGTATCCGAGCAAAACTAATTCGGCTATATAGAGCGTCGTTGAGCACAATTTTCAGCTCCGTTCAATAACTCCGCGCGAATAACTCTGCCAAAAGGTGCTACTTTGCAGACGATTGACCAGCAGAGCCCTCTCTTGACGAACAAAAATTACGCTTCACAAGTTTCTCATCATGCCCGTTCTTCTATATGGCGCAGAAGCGTGGAAGATGTTGATAGAATAATATTCCTTGGATTGAAGCACGTTCTAAGCTCCTTCATTTAAAACCTTGCACAGCGGAAGTAATTTTATTGCCTGCAAAAGGCACATTTGACTGCCTTTCTCAAGGATAGATTCGTTCAATGTTCTTTTTATTATTAAAAAGGCGCCCTTATCAAAAACCTGTCTCTTCCAATTGGAAAAATTTTGTATTAATTTGATCGAATTCAACAAAATGAAATAAATACATAATTGTTTGCATAGTAGTGTAAGTCACATAGTCCAAAATTTACCGTCATTTATGTATAGTCTGATGAATTTGACCAGGGCTGCAAAATTCATCATTGAGGCTGTATGTTACCAACACTAAACTCTCGAGACGAGTTCAGAAGCATGATAACGTAGAACCGACCACCGTCAGATCAGCATGTACTATGCCTACGGTGACCGTCCGTCCTGTTTTATACGGGACGCTCCTCTTTTTTTTTGATCAATTGACCTAGCAATTAATTTATTTTATACGGGACGCCAAATGTTCTGTTTTTCTTTTAATGTTCTGTATTTGTCCCGTATACGGGGTTCGGTATTTTGACGCCTTAAAAGCTCATTAAAATGGCATGCCTATGAACCAGTCTGAATGTCTGTGTTTCGAATCGAGGAGCACATACAGTGACCGAAATACAAATTAGGATTCTACATTTTAGCAAGGTTCGGCAATTTTTCTTTTGTTCATTTAATGTTTATTATTATTTTTTAAGTAAAGTTCTTTTCCTAACAAAAACCATATAAATCGAAATTTCCGACTTTGTGCAAAAACTATGAGAATTAATTCTGCAAATTTTCGCCAAAATTTCAAACTTTTTAAACAGAACCTTTAGAAAAAAATTTCGTTGCAATTTTGTTGCTCATTTAAATTTAGTATCAACAAATTGTCGAAAAAAAAAGAAAAATTGCCAAAAATTAACGGTAAGTCCTAGCTACTTAAAACTTGCACTTTATCGTACTAAAATTTAACTAAGCAGCTGTAAAAAAATTTTTGGAATAAAAATCTCGAGAAAATATATCCTACAAATTTGTGATACTATAAGGATACTGTTTCAGGGCTAATACATACAGTATCGGTCATATCTATAGCACGCCATTTCCAAGTTATATTGTGTGCCCCTTATGTTTATTTATTTATTTTTAAGAATTTTCAATTAAAATTTAGTTCATTCTCAAACAAACTCCATATATTCCCAAGTTCAACAATTTGTAGAAAACTACAAAAAAGTGTAACAAATTTTCACCTAAAATTGAAACTTTTTTCCCGGAAGTGTTAGAATTTTTTTTTTCGCATTGGCTTCCATATAATGAATAAACTCAATTTATTTGTATATGGAAGAAAACCGCAACACATTTGGCGAAAAAAATTCTAAAAAATCAACGGTAACTTTTAGCCACTTGAAACTTGCACATTATCAGACTAAAATTGATTGGGCTATAAAATTGTGTATTCAGAAAAAATCAAACACTTCCGAGAAAAAAGTTTGAAATTTAGGTGAAAATTTGTTGCACTTTTTTGTAGTTTTCTACAAATTTTTAAACTTGGGTTTATATGGGTTTTCTTAGAGAAAGAACTGTATTTTAATTGAAAATTCTTAAAAATAAATAAATAAACATAAGTGGCACACAATATCACTTTGAAATGGCGTGCTATAGATATGACCGATACTGTACATCTAAGATCATTTAAAAAGGTGTTAAGATTTGTTAGCTTTTATGGAAAAATTTGCAAAAATTATTATTTGTCCCGTATTCGGCTCGCCATAAATATGGTCACCGTAACTATACCTATACCGTGCTGTTTTTGCAACTATTGTTCTACTATGAACACTTTTCATCGTACATGGACTTTCTCTTTTGATTTTAATTGATGTTTTTTGCTGTTCCGAAAGTTTTGTAAGCGTCCGATGTGTTTCTTTATGCATGAGTTCTATATTACGTTCTATGATTCATCAGTTGTTGTCTCTCCTGATATTTATCACCACAGGATATAGTTTTCTGCTTGCTAACCGGATTTGTTTATTCGACGAGGTTGGCTCAAAGGAAGACCGGTGTAGATGAGTTTGTTTGAATGAGCATATAAGGAGATGGTATATATGCAAATTTGACTTAGGTTGGGTATGTCGGAAGTTGATTCTGCACAAGTAGGAATTCTGCTTAAAATTCAGAACGGGGATCGGAACATTAAATTGTTACTAAGAAATGATGAATTCTAGTTAGTCCATAGTTACTTTCTCTTGCTAAGTTGCTTTAATTGTATAAATATGGTTATGCGTACTTTGCCCGAGATATTGTACTTTAAACTCCACCCTACATGCTTGATAAAGACTCCTACTACATATAGTATTTATGACTTCAGCAGTCCAGAAAATGAAATATGTATGTATGTATGTACGTATGTTCATATATCTATGGTCTTGTGCAATAACAGCAATTCAATATTCAAAATATAAAAACCTTCTATTAAGTGGCTCATGTCTCTAATCTTTCTCAAATCCATGTCTAATCTTTAAGACTTGCTTTAGCAATCCTTACTTTAGTAAGGTTTGGAAAAGGATTAGACACAAAACCTACTTAGCAGTAGTAACTGTTTTTATTTTGTCGAATCTTGAGTTGTGTCGTTATTGCAGAGGACCATCGATATGTATGTATATCGCATTGCCGTAGACATTCAACAGATGTTCTCTTGTTTCATATTTTACAGAAATGCAAAAGGTTGCCATGCTGTCCGTCACTGCATTCAAACTGTGTGGGAAACACAAAATGTACCCGTAGATGATGATTCGATCTGTAAAATCTGTAAAGATATGGTAACACAGGCCCGAGACCAATTGCGTAGCAATGAAACCATGGAAGAGCTGAAGGAAGTATTCGAGGGCTCTTGCAATCTCATACCAGTCAAAATCGTAAGGAAGGAATGCGATAAATTAGCTGACGACTTTGTACCCGAATTGGTTGAAGCGCTTTCTTCCCAAATGAATCCAGATGTAAGATAAAATGTTCAAAAAAAAAACTACTATGAATTTAACGTCCACTTAACATATTTGCCCCACAACAGCAAGTTTGTTCAGTTGCTGGTCTTTGCAACAATGCACGCATCGATGAATTGATGGCGTCCCACTACCAAGCCGCTTTGGATGGTACACTTAAAGAGGATTCCGCTGAGTCCAAGGAAAGCAAAGAAATTGAATCAAAATCAAGTGTTCCCCAACAACACTTACTGACCTGCGGCAATTGCAATCACTTGGGCTCGCTAATCACTGAGAAGTTCAACCAAGCCGATCGTGACGAAATTCTCGAAAACATTTTACACTTATGTGGCGAAATGTCATCGTTCTCTGATGCCTGCTCCAATATTGTGCTAACTTATTTCAATGATATTTACGATCACATGAGACAACACTTGAATGCTGCTGGCATATGCCATATGTCCGGTTCGTGTGCGGCAAATTATCATAAACACGCTGACGATCCTGTAGAGCCAGAGGATCCTGTTGCACTCGCATCGACCTTGGGCGATGATATTCCATGCAAGTTGTGCGAACAATTAGTGCAACATTTACGTGACGTTTTGATTGCCAACACAACTGAAACTGAATTTAAGCAGGTGTTGAATGGTTTGTGTAATCAAACCAAAGGATTCCGCGAGGAGTGCAACAGTTTGGTGGAACAGTACTATGATGTTATCTACAATGCCTTGGTCAACAATTTGGATGCGAACGGTGCTTGCTTCATGATTGGCGTTTGCCCGAAAGGTAATAATGACGCTTTCAAAGGTGAGATCAGACCATTGCTACCATCAATTGAACCAGCTGAAATAAAGGTGACATTACGCAAATTGGGGGCCAATGAACCGAAATTTACGCAGGAGGAGATACACGCTATGACATTGCCAATTGATACATTGATGGGTGCTGCTAATCCTGGACTACTGGTGGATAACGGAGAATTGTGCACGTTCTGCGAATACTTGATACATTACATTCAAGTTGAATTATCTACTCCAACCACTGAGGTATGCAGATTTGATCAGTATGTAGCTTAATAAAATATTTAATATCTTCAAAATACAACAAACTTTTCCTTGAACCTCATTTACCCACCAATTGACTGTTCCTGATATAAAATTTTTCCATTCTCTCTCATAAGGATAAAATCAAGGAAGTTGTAAATAACGTCTGCAGCCGCTTAGGACGCACACTACGCGGTGAATGCCACAATTTCATTGATATGTATGGCGATGCTGTGATTGCGCTGCTCATTCAAGGTCTCAATCCACGCGAAATCTGTCCAAAAATGGCAATGTGTCCACCCAATCACGATAACTTCGATGATGTAGAGATCTTCGCGCCGGAAACTCCAAAAGTAGCGGCAACACCAGCTCGACCGGTCGATGAGAGCGATAAACCCACGTGCCCACTATGTCTGTTTGCTGTTGCGCAAGCCCAGCAAAAGATTGGGGACAACAAATCAAAGGTACCACGCTATTATGAAATACTGTTAGCTAACTTGCTAAGCAAGCCTTTAATTTTGTTTCCCATTTTTTTGTGCAGGCAAACATCAAAAATGTGCTCGATCACTTGTGCGCTCATTTGCCGCCAAAACTACAAACCGAATGTGTTGATTTCGTCGAAACCTATTCGAACGAACTGGTCGATAAGTTGATCGCCGATTTTAAGCCACAAGAAATTTGTGTCGATATAAAACTATGCGCAACATCCAGCGATGAGTTAGATGAATTAGGCATTAGTTTGGAGGAAAAAAGCCGTGAACAAGGTACATTGGACGCTACGATGTAGAGAGAAATATTTACAATTTAGGTTGCTATATCTTTCAATTAGGTATAAACGAAATCGATAGCAATGATTCTGTGGATATTGCATTTGGACGCATTGAACCACCTAACTGTTTATTATGCGAGGAGTTCATCAAAATTGCAGAGAAGAAAATTGGAAAACGGACTAGCAAGGTACAATTTTTATTAAGTTGATACGTAATATTTTTTTGCGAATTTTGTACGGATACGAATTGCGCATTTGCTGGAAGATTGGCTAACTCAAAAATCCGCACTTGGGGAAAATATTGATTATTTTCTTATTATAATTGTAAAAACAAGCGGAAAAGTGTGGCGTCATTATGAATTTGTTCCACAGCATGAAAGAAGTGTTGTCGACCATTTGGATATTCATCGTTCTTCCAGCAAGTGAGCGGTATATAAGAATCCGTGTTGTATGAATGTATGAATTTTTCAAGCAATAGGTAATAGATCAATCTCTGAAGTAACAAGTTTTCCTTTCCAGCAAGAAATTAAAAAGGCTTTGGATCACTCTTGTGACAAACTTCGATTAAATGTACGCGAAAAATGTCATAAATATGTAGCCAAGTATGGAGATAAAATTGCCGACTTGCTAGTCAAGGAAATGGCCCCGAAAATGATTTGCCGTGAGATAGGTCTATGCATTTGGAGCGAACAAGAGGATTGTAAGTAGTAATTCGTTTTTTTTACCAAGTGCAAATGCAATTGAAACGTGCTTTACATTATTCCAGTGGATATCGATGAGGCTTTGAAGTATGATGTTGTTGTATTACCCGATCAACAAATTTCGCAACACAACGATCGTTTCGTCGGTATGGATGATATAGTGAAAGAACCACCAACATGCGTACTGTGTGAATTTGTGATGACTAAATTGGAAGCCGAATTGCGGAATGCTTCAACACAGGAGGAAATCAAGCACACAGTTGAGAACATTTGCAAAATCATGCCTAGAACGGTTACTAAAAGCTGTAACAAGTTCATCGATGAATATATAAATACGATTTTATCGTTGATTGGCACCGTACCACCCAAAGTGATGTGTCAACAAATGCAATTGTGTTTCGGTGGACTGGACGTTGTTAGCGGTAAATAATTGGAGTATACAATTTTTTAAACCATAATTGGCACTCACATATTCACTCTCTCTACTCTCTAAAAGATGAGGTCATTGAATGCGGTGTTTGTCATGGCGCCACCTCTGCTCTGCTGCCGTACTTCAAGCAACATTTGGATCACGAGTCCATTGCAGAGTATTATATGCTATTGGAGGGTTGTCAAGCACTTGATGCCAAATATTACGATATTGTATGTTCTCTACTGTTAAATATGTAGTATTAATTTTGTTAACAATGTTGTTTACATTTTGCTTTGTATTACAGTGCAATCGCATGATCCGTACTTATGGTCAGAGCATTTTGAATCTGGCTCAAAGTGGCGAAACCGATGAATCAAGCATTTGCGCAAAGATTGGCAAGTGTTTCAGCGGCGAAAAATCAAGCTTGGCTTTTGCAAAAGTTTCTGGTTAGTGCGATAAAGAAAAATTTGCTGGATGCTGATTTAAATAAATAAAATAAAATAATATTTGGTTTCGTTGTTTCATTACAGCTTAAAAGTCGTTTTTGGAAGCTCTTAAGTGAATTCGATGTGTGAAACACGTGATGGGATTAACTTGCTTTTAAGCCATTATTTCTTCATTTGACTTTAATTTAATCTGAAAACTTATGTCTATTTCATATGCATAATCATAAACTACAACTCCTGTAGAAAACGATGAATTATTCTATAATTACTTAATACTACAATATTATTTAAATGTTTTACTGATTTCAAATATCTAATTAAATTTTCAGTTTTATGTATTCACTATATGAATATACAAACATACTTACACTTAAATTGCTTAAGCGCTAAGGTAACGTGAATGAATGGTTTTGTATAAAGTATGGCTAAAAAATTGATAGCGCCATTTTTTTAAGAATAATACATTTTTATTGTCGCAAAGAAGAAAATTCAAAGTTCCATGTAAAAAGCGGCACAGTAGAGAGTTCGAAAGCGAAGTAATATTAACCATGTCATGGAAAGTACTGAAATTCCGGTATAGTCTGTATGCCACATTTGGCTTGAACGATTTTCTCTTTGATAGATTCCACTCAATTGATATGGAATGTGTAATGTTATTTAGTAAATGAAATAAAAATGTATTTTAAAGTTTAATAATAATACTAAACACGTTTTTGTACAAAGAGGCTTACATATACATAAGTATAATATGTAAATAGGCGAATAAGAAAAATTTAAATGTTTTTAAGATAGTGTATCGTCGTTGGTTGCCAAAGGAAATGTTCAAATCTTATCAGATTGCCAGCCGAGAGCAAAAGAAATAGTTCATTCATGCATTCCAATGTTCCCAAGATAGTTGCTGAGTGAAGATCATGGCGCAATAAATAGTAATAATTTCACCATGAGTGTGGACATGTAAACATCAACATAAGCGGAGAAAGTGGGAGGAGCACTTGAAGACCTGCCACTTCGCCTCTGGTGTGACTAAGCTCTGGTCAACCCGTGACTTCCCTGTCTAACCCGACGAGACGCAATGACCGAGGGGAAATTTTATTCGATGGTCGCGCCTCGTTGTTATTGTTGTAGCGTCGGACCCGACGATTTTTCCTTCGGTAGATAAGACCACACTTCGCGTGAACAGGAGACTGCACAAGCTGACCAAAAACAGTGAACCCCTACTTTCACCAGCGGTGAAGTCAAGGTGGCCAACGGGAAGGCAAAAGCCTCCAAAGCCATTGGACCCGACGGAATTCGCATGCTGATTCTAAAATATTTGGGGCCCGCGGGAGTAGCATATCTCACCAAGGTCCTGAACCTGTCAATGGTCACTCTCATCATTACCGATCTGTGGAAATCGCAAAGAATGGTCCCACTGCTGAAACCAGGGAAACCAGCCAACAAAGGAGAATCGTATCTCCCGATAACGCTCCTTTCCCCTGTCGCGAACACACTTGAGGCGCTGCTACTCCCGTACTTTATACAACACCTGATCGCAGCGAAGCATCAGCATAGTCTCCGTAAAGTACACAGCACTTAACGCAATAAACACCCAGGTAACTCGGGGCCTGAACAGCAACCGCCCCTGTGAGATAACTGTCCTAGTAGTGTTGGACTTGTCAAAGACGTTGGGCACCGTTTGTCATTTCACGCTGCTAGAAGACATTGAGGCACCCTCTTTCCTACAGGGACTCAAACGGTGGTCGGCGAATTATATGAGTTATTGAAACCTAAAATTAAGCAAGAGGCTCCACAGGGTGCTGTCTTCTCCCGCTTACGGTCATTTCGAAGCTCCTTCAGCCACCGGAGGAAATTTTCCTGATCTCATACGCTGACGACTGCTCAATAATGGCGTCCGGAGGAATTTACGACCTTTGTTCTAGGAGCCTAACACTCCCCATCGAAATCAACCTGGACGGAGGGGTCAGGAAACAAGGTATGCCTGCCCGAACATTTTAGGGGTTACCTTTGATTGCCTAATCTCCTTCGCCGCGCACACGACCGCAGTTGTCAACAGAGTACAGAGCCGCAAGGCCCTTAAGTCGCTCGCCGGCAACACCTTGGGCAAAGACTAAGAAGCATTTCTGGCCGTTCTCACACCTCGGGTCTACGTAACCGGAACGACCCAGATTTATATTTGGCCACTCTGTCACCAGCACCACTCCTGTCTGGTCGTTGTACGAAGCTGCAGACTTATCAGAACACCGCACACCGGACAGCAACAGGATGCCTTCTGGTGTCGCCTGACCCCTGCACAGCGAGGCCCAAATGCTTCCCGTAACGGAGCATAAAAAATGCTCAGCAAGCAGTTTCTGGTGGGATGTCACAGACGTGAACACCCCAAGAGACCTTTGCTCGAGGAGAACGCTCCGCCCAAGCACGTCAGAGGGCACCTGTTCGAATACATGGAGGCGGTCCAGACATACATTGACCAACCTCTGGACCCGGCGACATTTACAGGGAGTCGGTCTCCACCTTCCACGGCTCTCGTACTATGAATTCCGTGATCGGGGCCCAATCACCATTTATATGAGACACGGAGCTTCGACAGCCGCCTTTACAGCTACCTGTCCAGACTCGACTCCAATGAGTGTCCGGCATGTGGAGACTCCCCGCACGACACCAACCCCTCTTAACATGACAGTTCAATCACACTCAAGTAATATCCCTCTCCCTTTGGTACGGCCCCGTTGAAATTGCCCGTTTCCTGGGCCGACTTTTAATTGAGCTTGACGACAATGATTGATGGACAAAATGAAATAGGCGGGGCTTAGTAGTGCCGCTACAAAAACAACTTCTCAACAGAAATTACTGCAAATCTTTCTCACGATTAAAGAGTTTCTTTTGTAGAAGGAGCGCTCAACTTAGCTGCAGGCGTCGTCAAGTGGTGTCTAGGGATTGGGCGAGCCTAAGACCGAAAAAGTGGGTGACATCGTAGGGTGCACTTCATAGTGCTTCCTCTATTAGGGTCGTCGGGTTGGAGGTGCAGGGCAGATGTTTGCCACTTCCGATGAGTTCGAGGCACCACCCAGAACAGAGCTGTTATAGGTGGCTTGGAAGTTCTGTTTCTTCAATGCAGATGAGCGCTGGTTGACCTCCTAGCACGTTATAGTCTTCTGTAAAGTTCGTTCAGACAGTATCGCTAAGGACGTTGTTGGGCGGTGGTCTGCATCGCCCCTCATTGAAGAGAAAGCGATGTCTGTTCTCCAGAAGTACAAATGCCGCCTCACGGGTCCATCCGTATAGCGCACGTGGTTGTCTCCAGCTAGTGGAGGAGGGAGCTTGTCCACGAAGGGATCGAACAGCTTCGGCGAAAGGACCTTGTTTTTTGGAACCCTAATGAATTATACGTGGCTTGGACTTGACATTTTGGAATTTAACTTACGGTTGACATTAATACTTACAGATAACTTGTTGTCCACCTTTTCGATTGGTCGGATGCCCCGCCAAAGGGTCGCATGGTTAATTGTGTCCTATCAGAACTTCAGCGTTGCCTCAGACCCTCGCTTAACTATATGTCTGGTTCAATGCTGTGTTGGTGCTCAACACTTTCTGGATTCGTGCTGGTTTCGGGTAGTTTGTCTTGGAGAAGGGTCGGTATAATTCTCCTGCGTAAGCCCTATCTTCTGGCTTCAGAAAGGGAATGGTCAGTGACATCTTTAATGAGGCTCTTATGTACTCGACTACAGCAGATCCACGCGTTCGGGAGTCCGACGTGGATAAGGACCTCATTGGTTGCCACAGTTTGCTTGCTGCACTGAAGAGATTGCAGAACTGGAGTAAATTACTCCACTTGTCCCTCTCATGCTGCTTGACGCGGGAGGTAGCGAAGAGTGCCAAAGCCAAAGCCAAGCAACATACCAAGCCAAAGACGCCTTTTCAATGGAAGTGAAAGAGGGGTAGACAGCGTAAAGTGCGGCCCTAAAATTTTGTAAGAAAAGGTTGCAATTAAATGGTTCTTGCAGCGATAAAATATGGAATTCTGCACTCGAGCCTTAAAGGTTAGGTAGAAGTTAGCCTTGGTGTAAAGATCGCATTTGTGATTAAGGCATTGGGAATTTCATTAGTCGTTTACTTTACAATAAACCTCCATGCTATCTCTCAGTAGATAATGGTGATTTAGGCTGTGTGGAAACTAGCTTCTAAAAACCCAACCGTACATCAGATCTCCCCCACACACGACCCCCAGCAGGCCCACTGCAGGGAAATGTATTGCAGCGTATACACTGGCCTAATTGGACGCAACACCACATCGGTTAAATGCAACTGTTGCCACGGTCCACAAAGCAAGATCGCAGAGATAAGCAATTCCATCAGCAGACTAAACTCCATTTCCGCTTGCGATTTTAGCCAGGACGAATACAATATTCTCCCAATAGACACCTTTCGTGACAATTTAGGAAGAATCTCTTTCATCCCGAACAACTCTGTGAAATACCGGTATATTCAGAACTAAAACAGTATTGGACATTATGACCGTGTAACGGGACGGTTAACGTCTTAGTTGACCTATATCTGTATTCTATACATTAAAACACGCGATACTCTTCCAGGATGCTCTCATGACAGTGGGCCTTCGTAGCCGGAACGACGCAGATCTATATTGGGCCAAGGACTGTCACTCCAGCTGATTCCTTAAAAACCCCTTTGGGGAGTTTTTATGCTGATACAACATCAAAAACACTCTCCAGGACATCTTTGACTCGTCCTTTCCGTATCGGTTGGAGCAGTGGAACGTTAACTATCTGCGCCGATACTAGTCGTCGTTCAAATACTGCAACCCTAAGACCAAACCGCGCACGATGATAGGCGTTGTTGTCCGGTAGTTAGAGATAGAGAGTCATCTTTGCGATCTTGCTAGATTCTTCAAACTATAAACCTACAAAATTTTTCAATCCTCCGCCATACGTGGATGAAGGAGGTCAGGCTAAACCTCAGTGTGAACGTCGAGAGCGTCAATATTCCAACGGTAAATCCACAGATATTGTTACAAGTCACATTCGATAACCTATGCTTCTTCTTCGCACACACTACCTCCACTTGTAATAAGCTTCGCGCGAGAAATAAGGTCCTCAAGCCGAGTGTCATAAGTACTTGAGATGCGGACAAAGAAACCTTATTCCCGTATTATATACCAGGCCATTGGATAGTAGGGGTTGAACTAGAACGCGTCTGTGTGGTTGGTAGGAATCAATGATGCACAGTTAAATTCCTGCTGTTACAACAATGAAGCAATTTGGACTTAGTTAAGAAGTAACTGGGCTAAAATTTTCACAGCACATTCTGATAAGGCAATCCTCGACAACTGAAGCCACCGCTCTGCTAAATTGGTTCAGGTAAAAATCGGTTATATTCTTGAACATTCGGTAAAAATGTTTACTTCTAAATTAAGGGTGGTGTTTTTTGAAATCCAATATGGCGGAAAAGTTTTTAAAAATTTATTGCATTCCCATTTTGGATCCGCCATATAAATTTTAAAAACTCATGACCAATTTCGTAATCAGCGACCCTGGGTAACAATATTTATTCAAGTGAATCCAATCATTTTTGAAATTTTTGTCCGCCATATTGGATCCGAAATATTGAATTTAAAAAAACGCAACTTATTATTTGAAAATAAGCATTTCTACCGAGTTTTCAAGACTATTCGATTACTTTTACCTGAACCAATTTTGGTGAGAGGGCAGCTTCAGTTGACGAAGAGTGCCTCAGATTTATATTATTTCGTACTTGCCTTCTAAAAGGAAAAAAAACATGGAACTCTAAACGACTTACGCAAGGTGTATTAAACAAGGTGGTGTTGGGGCGACAGCTGAGTTTTTCGCCGCGGAGGCCATTACGTCAAAATGATGTGTTTGTTGTAATTCATACCAATGACAGTATGGACATCAGCGTATAATTTGTTAGTGTAATTTTTTACTTATATACGGCCAACACCACCTTGTTAAATACGCCTTGGACTTACGATTATTATGATCCAATAAATACGATAAATTTCTTTGATTAAATTTTTTTTTAACCATAAACGTGTTTTCACTATTCTCAACATTTTCCGGAACAAATAAATACAAAAAAAAATTTCCACCATGTTCGAAGACACGCTCTTAATTATAAAAGCCGATTACATGCACAAGCGCAAACCAGTATTGTTGCATTTATTGCAACATGAATTTATAATTAAAGGCCAGCGCAAAATACTATTTTCGCCAGAGAATGCTGCAGAGTTCTACAAATCTCAAGCGGAAGATAAAGATTTCATGTTGCAAGTCATTTTACTTTCGAAGGGCATTAGTGAGGCCTTCATACTGGCCAAGGAGAATGCGGTGGAAGGCTTGATCTGCACAATGATTTGCTATTTGTAATGCTCCACTTGATTGGTTTTTACAAATGTTTTAATTAACCTAAATCTTCCTCAAATCTTTCATTGCAGCTCAACATCCATGGAAATGGTACGCAATGTGCACGTTTCAACGAGCACAGAGAGCGCTGCACGCGAGATAAGTTTCATTTTTGTAAATTGTAAAAAAAAAAATGGAATTCTAAGCTACCTAATCTCCCACTATTTCATTAATATCCATTTAACCTTACTGCAGATATTCCTGAGCCCATTCCACTTTTTAAACGGCACAAATTTTCCTCAGACTCTCTAATGGCGCCGTTCATTAGTCAACTCTATGAGATTATTCAGAAACCCGATGATGATAAGAAGAGTTGGAAAGTTCAGTTGGCTGAGTGGTTGACCCTGGAAAATCCAGAACTGCCAATAATGAGCAATACATGTAGCACTAGGGCTGAAATTTTTGTCGAAGACAAGGCTCAACAGGTCAATTTGGTGGACTCAACTGGAAAAAAGCCTAGCGTATTTCATACTGATGGCGCAGGTGGTGAGACGGCTTCTTCAGATGTTACCTGTGCCCCTTCGTCTTCATCCACTGGTAATTCAATAGTGATGAGCAGTTCGTCCTGCATGACATGTTGTCCCTTCGAGCGCACTGAGGTCGACGTGAGCGCCGAGGATGTATGTAATAAAGCAGAGAAGCTTTTCGCGGCAAAGATAGCACCGTTGCCAAATAGAATACAGGAGGAGGAGGAACGCGAAGATGAAATGTGCATGCAAGTGTGTGAAGATCATATAAAGCAGTGGAAGGCAGAATTACGCGCCGATGAGGTGGAAATGAAAAAGGTATTACCTTATGGTGGTCGAGATTTGGAGATGATTAACGAAGTGGAAATTTAAGAAAACATTTTCTGATACAGGAATGAAGTTTGATACCGTTTTTATGTGCTTTGTATATTTTTGAGAAAAATTAGAATTTGGATTTATCCTATTGCAATCGACTTATTCTAAACTATCTAAACTCTTTGTGTATTTACATGCACAATAAATTAATTTATGATGTTTAAGGCAAGTCCAGAGTAAATTATGTTGGTAAACTTTAGTCTGGGTGCAAGGTCAGTTGGGGGTACCTGGTAATGAGAAAATTGACCATCTGGCCAGAGTTGGCTCAGGCTAAGCATTCCTCGTCCCGCAAACCAATTATAGCACTTTCACCTTCGGCCATCAATCCCTCACTAGAAATTAAGCTCAGAAATGCCTGGGAGGCATCGAGGGTCTGCAGATGGGCTAAACGCATGCTCCCTTCAATCTCAAAGGATTTTCTAGTTACTTGCTCTCGAAGCAGACAACTTGTTGGACTGCTGATTGGTCACTTCACGTGGCAAAAACACCTGACTCTCTTTTTTTTTATTTTGTCCCGCCTTTGCAAGAAACGGGTATGAGGAATTGGCCGCGATGTGTGAAGAGACGAACACCTGAGCTCTTTATTGTTACTACACCTTTTCCAAGAGTACTTCAGAAAGCGTCAAGTGGTATTTCAGAAACTGTAAAATGTAGTTCAGAATAGTCAACAATACTTCAGAAAACGTAAAATGTACTTCAGAATAGCCAATTTTACTTCAGAAACCGTAAAATGTACTTCACAACAGTCAATTGTACTTCAGAAACCGTAAAATGTATTTGATTTTTGCAGCGGCGATATCTATGGTCTGCTTGCGACCTATGGGTGACTCTTTGCTTTATCCCTCTTAAATTTATAAATTTTTACTTAATAAAGGGTACCTTTTGTATTCCATTGATCTCATTGAAAGCTGGGTTTAAACTGGCGGATTCCACTAGATCTGATCTGGCGGATCAGATCTTTGTTTATGATTCAAAGTTATGTACATATAATATCAGGGCCATTAATGGGAAATGAACATCTGCCGGACTAGTTGATGTTCTCGAAGATACTAAGGCCGCCCAGTGCCAATCCACAAAAAGCTGAACTAAGCCATTTTGAAGTTAAAGGGGGACAAGACAAAGTCTCCCTGGTATAAATCGAGGCGGCATTGACCTCACTGTTGACAGTATCCAATATACATATTTAAAGATGCACGGACTTCTTTTATTTGTGAATTAGCATTAGTAATGGAGAAACACACTTTCCAACTGACACGGGGTCTTTATTAGAGCAACAGAAGCCAAATCAACAATTTTTTAGAAATTTTGTCTGTCTGTCTGCCTGTATGTTTGCTCGCGCATCACTGGGAAAACTAATGCATGGAATTGAATGCAGTTTTCTCCGATGCATTGCTAGGGGTCTCATTTAAAATATAGGAAAAAAAATAGAAAGTTGCCATTTGTTTAAAAATTTCAGTGTAATTAAATTTATAAGATAAAGTAAATATTGCAATATGGCGGGCAAAAGAAAACGGTTTAAGAAGGCTTATAGCCGAAAATATTTTTGTTGAAGGTTGCCACCTGTTTGAAAATTTTAATTCACTTTAATTGATAAGATAAGTTGAATATTGCAATATGGGTATCAAACTGAAGAGGTTTAGGAAAGTTTATAACCGAAGATATTTTGTAAGGAGGGTTTGAAAAATTATATTAAAATAAATTGATAAGATAAATGATATATTACAATATGGGTATCAAACAGCACAAAAACACTTTCAAAGCGCAGTGAAGTACACCGGGTATGGGTAAATCAGTTTAGTATCTTGCGCAGCTCCCAAAGAAATCTCTAAAACACAATAATGGGTTGAAGGTAAAGGGTTTTTCATTTGTTTCCTCTTTAAGTGGGTGTTTCAGATGATAGGCGGCTACGATATCCTCGGTCAAGCAAATCTCAGCCCTGTTTCGAGTTCCGCCGTCATGTATTCGCTCACGCCCAATAACTAGCCGGTTTTAACCGCTATTCTACATTAAAAGCATTACGACTTTAATAGCGTTTTCTTTTCTCCAAAAAATGTTGCATTTATTTTGACCTGTGCCATGGCAGTCAAGTTTTCGTGTTATTTTCTACTCTAGTCAAGAAAATAGTGTGTGTTTTTGTATGCCCTTTAGGTTGACGTTGTTGCTTTCGCCATTCACTTTGCGAGTAGTGTGAGTTAACGGAAAGCATTTGCGTTAATGGCCAACCTGTTGGCTTTTTTTGACAGCTCTAATAGACGCAATATTGCAAGCCTTTACCAAAATGACGCTACCTCCGGCTGAATTTCCCGAACAGAAAATTATGAAATTTCCTTGGATTAACAAATTCGGCAAATTTACAGAAATCTTTTGCCAATTTTGTACTTTGCCTTCGGAGTATTGCCGATAACCAAAATCGCCGTATCTATGTACCATTACCATTACCACTGACAACAAATTGTCCCTTTCCTTTCTACTATTTCCTTTTCACTAACCACTCAGTGCGCACACGCGGAAATGTCAATGAATTTTTTGTTGTGGAGGGGTTTCCACTCCCGCACTTCAATAGCGATAACCGTAACTTTTTGACGTTAGTGCATTTGCGACAGCAGTTAGAGGTGGCGGCCAAATGGCAGCAAGAAGGCAGTAGGCCGGAAATTTCATTGGTCAAAGCATTCAGCTGTCGCATATTAACTGCAAAGTGCATTTATACAACAACAACATCAACAACAGAAATGCAAACAAATTATTTTCAGTGTACATTTGCAGAAGTTGAACGGTGAAAAAATGCTATCAAATCGAAAAAGTGAACAGTAAAGTGCAAAGTATTTCTGGTGGTTTGAGAAACGAAAATGCATCAGTGCAATAAAAAATAATAAACAAAATAATACGAAAAAGACTTTGAAATTCAAATAAATGAAAAATGAAAAATAACTTACTTAATGTGTAATTGCAATGTTGTTCGCCTGTCCTGACCACTTTTATACACGTTTATCATTAGTACCAGCAGAAGCAGCGGCAGCTTGCAGCCGCAGTGCCAGTATATGGTCACCATCGAATGATAAATTCCTTTGCAGTGCATCGCATTCTGCTGCATTGCTGGAATAAGTAAACAAACGTTTGAGGAAAAAGGTAAATGGGCAGTGTCGCGCTGACCCGAAAGACGTATCCATCAGCTCTTTTCGAGGAGCAAGTGGCACATTTAGCATTTGTGTATACACCGTCAAGTGTCTATTTTTTGTGTACCTCACTAATCTTTCGCTGAGTTGGCGTTTTGTTCGTAACACAGCGAATTTTGTGTCATTGGGAAAGTGCAGTATCGATTTTTCGCCAAGGTTAGTGGGTGGGTGGTCAGTTATTGCGCGCCCAATGCTCTGCCTTTCGTTACAATGATGGTGTTGGGTTTTAGTAACATGCCTAAGTTTGATGCACCAAATTCGCGTTGTGCCTCTATGTTTTCATTAATTTATGTATTCGACCTCACTTTACATATATGTACCTCCACACCATAGCTGTGCTGTTATCAACTACTGAAATCGGTAACGCATTTACACACCACAAATGCTGCAGTTTGTCAGTTGCATCAGCCGTTAATCGGGTTGTGGATAGTTAATACGTACTTGCAGCCGAATGACAAGTGCAGTACACTGAAAGAAAAAGTCATCGACAAATTAAAATTATATTAATTTTCAGTATATAGCAAGGCACATTGAACAGGTAGTATCAGTAGAGCAGCTGATTTGATTTATTTTCAAATTATTTGGTCTCGAAAATGTCAAATATTTTTAATTTTTTCTCACAAAAATTCTGAATTGTTAAAATCCATTTGCATGTGAAACCTTTTTCCATACAAAACAAGCGATTGAATAGCTGCTTTTGGAACGTTCGCCCAACTCGGCAGCACAACCGCTGATTACTGGGCCTTGCAAAGGATGGATCAATGCTTCGAGAAGCAAACAAATTTACTAGGAAAGAAAGTTGCATCAATTTTTATTTTTTCCAATTTCAATTTTTTATTTTTTATAATTTTTTGTATTTCACATGGCACGCTTTGATTTAGAAGAAAAAATTCAGAACAGTTTTTGACACTTTCGATACCAGAAGCAACAACAAAATACACGCAAATGTTGTTTTTGCTCTACTGATACTACCTGTTTAATGTGCCTTGGTATATAGTGATCATTTCGACGATTTTTATTAATTGTAGAATCTATCTACGTACATATGTATACACTTACTAAATGAAAAGCCTTTCGTATGACGGCGTTGCATGAACAAACGACTTAACAGATTTCCATTCCGTACAAAGTACTTTTTTGTATTTCTGTGTGGAAGGAAATTTAATTTTTTTGCCAAAAAATTAACCAAACTAAAAAGACGCGATTTCATAGATTTTCTTGTGCGTTGTATGCACGTCATGAAATTACCAAACGGCTGGATGGTTTGGGTTTACAATTGGACCCAGTAGCATTAAATTAAAATTTTAGGGGTCTTCACATCTATTTCAGGAGAATTGGTAAAATGCTGGTTGTTACTCGATAATTTTATCACATGTGAACGTCCTTTTCAGCTTCCTTTTGTTAGTCTGATAACTTATGTTTATAAACAGCACATTGGTGCCTTTTTTGCTATACAAAAAATAAATTGTAACAGAAAATTTAATGATTTTTAACTTATAATATCGGTAATTTTCTTAAAAAAGGTAAAATAATTATTATATTTTAATATTTTCTACTTAGTTTGTAGTTGAATTTAGGTTTAGGTATGCTTAGCGTTCACAGAAAACAAGTAAAAACAAAAATGAAATCATCACTAAAACAATGAATCGATTTGCAGAAGACCCCCGAAGACTATTGTTTAAATCCAAGGTTCCCAAACTTATTTTTCTCGTAGACCCCTTTCAAAACTTTACTGGTTTCGGCTCATGCTCATTTCGGCTTATGCTCATTTCTAACATATTCACAAAGCTCATCAAAAAATGTGAAGATTAAATCTAACGATGTAATTTTGCATCGCGGGTGAGTTCCAGAACTAAATTTGGAGTGGCAAAAATAAAAATAAAATATTTTCCTGTGTTATATTTAATAAAATAATGTGATAACACACTTGCAAGTTTTAAAAAACAGAGCTCGTAAAGCCATGAAAGAACTATCTCGCTCTGAGGAGAACAATAAGAACAATAAATAAACTCATCACATGTTCGGCTCACTCATGAATTTCCATGTGATGTATTTGTCAAATAGTTTATTTGTGTTGATGGCATCATTTTTATTTTTATCGTTCCGAGTTTTAAAGTGATGCGAAAAATATTCGTCACCCGCATTTTTAAAACACAAAACTTGAAACAACAAAACTGCAAAGTTTTTGACGCCAAACTTCAAATTCAGAAACTTATAAAAAAGAAAATACCGAATCTAGATAAATCGATGATAAACAAACAAGCAAGCGTAAAGCTCAAGAAGTGTTTCACCGTCTCATTCTCTTCAAAGCAGGATGGGCAAATGGAGTTGTCATTTACGCCTATCACAGTCAGGTGTTTGTGCCACGTGAAGTGACCAGTCAGCAGTCCCGTCTTCTCAGTGAGAGGAAAAAACTAGATAGACTTTCTGAGATTGAAGGCAACATGAGTTTTGCCCACCTGTCATTGCTGAGCGAAGTATCCACCCAGTTTCTGATGGTGGCTTCGATGGTAAAGTGTTTTAAGTAACTGGTTGCGGATCGAGGAATGCCTGGTCTAAGCCAACTGTGGCCAAAGGGTCAGACGTCTCATTTCCAGGCACTTCCGAGTTGCCCGGCACCCAGAGTAAAGCAAGCTCGTTATCTTTACCAACATAATTAAGTCGAGACTTGCATTGCTGAACTAGTTTGCAAGTACTTCGATAGAGGGCTGGCCAATACCTTAAGTGCAGCTTATCTGTACCTGTAGACACGAAAACTCCTTCCCCTCCACCTATTTGCCACCACGTAGTCTTTGGCTTTGGGGATTGCAAATACCTCAGCCTGGAAGACCGAAGCATATTCCCCAAGAGAAAAAGTGAAGCTTATCCCCATTAACCCCGGAAAATACTGCAGATTCTGACCCTGAGTCTGTTTTGGAGGCATCAGTGAAGGTTAAACAATGTACGAGCGCGGGTTAAGTGCTGGAATTAAACCAGCATTCCCCTTCAGGGAACTCTCTCTCTCAAGAATCTCTTCAACAAAGGTTATGGTGGCGTACTATCCTGTAGCATTGAAAAGACACAAGTGCTCAAATATCTGCTGCCGACAATTTCCGCATCGCATCACTTAGTGTTATACCAACATCCGTTTCTTTTAAGTCTGCAGGGCCTTAAAGGCTTCCCCACGTACTGTGGCACAAAGTCAAGGTAAGTTCACCAGTGCGTCAAGAGCACTATACACCACTGACAAGAATTAAAGTTAAATAAATAATTGGTTATTTACTATTGAAACGAGATAAATTTTTCTGGACACCCAAATTTATTTCACGTCAACGTAGACCCCCGCCGAGTCTCCCGTGGACCCCTGGGAGTCCACCTGGACCACTTTGGGAATCACTGGTTTAAATAAATAAGTAATTTTTTAGCAAAAAACAAAACCGACTTCAATTTTCATGTAAAACTTTAATGGCCTTATTCATAAAAAATAAAAGGCAATTTATCGAAACGCGTAAGTGCCTCGTAGCCATGGAAACCTCGTAAACTCAATTAATTTTGTATGGAAAACTGGTTTATTTACGAGATTTGCGCGCTTGCAAGGCGCTTATGCGTCTAGATGAATACCCATAAAGTAAAAAAGGTTTATAAACTGAAAAATTTATGAAAACGTTATTTGATAAAGCTCTTTAAACCTACTTTATATTTTATGAATAATTTCTTCATGAACCGATAATCGGATCTAAACCAAATTAGAATGGGACCACCTTTTCTTAAAAAAAAAAAGAATTATCGAAATCAGTTATGTGGTAACATACTTACACAAACAAAATATTCCGACGAATAGATAACCTCCTACTTTTTTTTGAAGTCGGTTAAAAATAATGAAGAAATTACGATTTTGCTGTAAAGACGAAGCATCATTTTAAAATTTGCATGCAATTAAGGTAGGTAACTAACAAATTTTTATTTTAACTCTCCAATAAGTTCATAATAAACTTCATGTAATATAAATTTCAATGTTAGGCTCGGTACAACTCAACTGCTACAATAACATGTAATTTGTAAGCAAAAAACACAACCGACTTCAATTCTTATATAAAAATTTAGAAGTACCGTTAATTTCTTCATGATCCAATGATGGGATCTAAAACAAATTAGTATTGGATCTTCCCTGAGGCACCACCGAAATCGGTTAATGTGGTCCAAAGTTAGGCGGTAACATACATATAAAAAATAGTATTCCAATGAATTGATAATCTCCTCCTTTGTTTCAAGTCGGTTAAAAAGAGAAAAATTAATGTGTTAAATTATTATATTTCTTATTATATTTTAACATTTCTAATAAAACTTACTCTCCAAAAATAATCTCAGGCCCACCCTCTAAACAAATTTAAAATTATAGCTTAGGTTATTTAGGAATGAACAGTATATCGTAGGTAACAGATTCAAATAAATAAATATTTGGCGCTTAAGCCTTTTCTACGTATTTGACCGAACTTCTCCAATTCGTGTTCTGCTTCCAGATATGACGAATAATTGAACATCCTGGCGTTTAACCCTTATATTTAGAGCTAGGTCCTTCGCGGGGTAAAGGTTGTGAAAAGAAAGCTCCTGAAGCAATTTCCTTGAGGGCCCAGGCTTTTTTCGATGTTAGCCACAATTTGATGGAGTGTAGTATGCACAGATCTTGTTCTGGAGTGGTCATGCTCGCAGTTGGAAAGAACTCTTGGAGTTAGCTAAATATTGCTTAATGTATGAGTCCAATAGTCTTACCAGAGTATTTAGAAACAAAGAACTGAAGCTTAAAGGACGAAAGTCACTGGGTTTTACGTGCTAGAAGACTAGAAAGTTTATAGCGGATATCAATGATCCGCATGACAGGAGCACTAAGGACAACATCAACGGCAGTACTTTACACCTTGTTGCATCTCTTGCCGGCGGACCTTCCGGCCAAGAATATAGCGTGGCTTTATGCCACGGGACAGTTTATGAGCAGGACAGTGGTATAGCGTCAAATTTTTGGGGAAGGATTGACTATCGGAAACTGTGCTGTTATAGGAGGTGCCGATTTCCCTCCAAGCGATTTAACGGGAGCTCGATATGTCCATGATACGAATGGTGCAGAAGGCATGGACTAAAACGCATAGTTGCAAGATGTCTAGGCTTATGTGCGGGGCGTATGACAAAAAGTTCACGCAGGTCCTCCTATCCTTCAAGAGGGAAGATGTGGGTGTCCAAACGGAAGCATAGTAAACAAATCATAGAATTATATTTTCGGAGTTTTGTGCATATTTTTGAGAACGAATGTATAAAGAAACAAAATTAGCAGGGTAAATCAAGACGAATTCATACAAGGTGGTGTTACCTGAGCAGCTCATTTAAAGACGAATTGTGCTGATTGTCAAAATGATGTGTTTATTGTAAGTTTTTTGTTTTTGGACTGCCGCTATCACCTTGTATGAATTCACCTTGGGTTAAATATTTTTTAATCAAAAATATCAAGCGAATTTCGCTTCAAAAAAGTATCGGTCTTGTTCCCTGGTTTAAACTCTTGGGGCATCTTCAAGGCCAAAGGTTTGACCGATATCCCAGCTCTCGCCCTGTAAAATTTGTTGTATCTCCCGCTTGGGCTTATATTACCGATTGTACTTTTTCCAAAAATCTCAACAGACGCTGTTCACGGTGTACTAAAAGGCGCAGAGCCGTCTTCTTCTCATTTGGCGCTGTAACAGCCTAAAAAATTTTGGCCGAGCTCAACAAAGCACGCCAGTTGTTTCTCTTCTATGCCGATTGTCACCAATTGGAAATGCCAAGTGAAGCCAAGCTGTTCTCCACTTGATCTCTCCATGGCAGCGGGAGGCCCTCCTCTTCCTCTGCTAAATACGACCAGCTGGTTCTGAGTTGACTGCTTTCAAAGCTCGGAAAGTTGGTTTCCATTCGAACGACAAAGCCAACCCAGCTCGAGAACTCTGAGCGTCAAATTCACAGTGCGTAGTTAACGCAGAATCCGCAGTTAACTACAGAATTTCAGTACAAAAAAGTCGAGAGAGGACTTTACTTCTGAATTGCCTGCTCAGTCCAAAGTAGCATTTGTTGGCAAGAGCGATGCTGAAATTATTATTGGTGTTAATCCTGGTTCACAAGTAAACGAAACTTTCTACTTTCTCAAAATTATAACTGTCAACAGTGACGTGGTTGCCAAGGCGCGAATGCGCTGACTGTTTGTTTGATGACAGGAGATACTTCGTCTTGTCCTCGTTTAACACCAGGCCTATTCGCTTTGCTTCCTTATCCAACTTCGAAAAGGTAGGCCTTCAGCTTTGTTCCAGTTATGTGAGGGGAACTAACCCTGCAACTTCCCGTTCATGGTAATAATGTTGATAAGGGCGGTCAAACTTGGGGGCCTTCGTGGTAGACATTTTTGGCCGGAGGAGCTTTTTTATTTTGTATATACCTATGTATATTTTATACCAGGTCTTCATCCTCCAAGGCAGAGTTCCGTTGTAAAGGAGTAAGGCTGAGAAGATCTACAGGTCCGGTTTTCGAAGCACTCCCTTCGCGAAGGGCTTTAAGCTCTCGGTAGGCGTCATATCATACTTTAACCCGGCCCTGAAAGTAACTAGAAATGTACATATGTATATGTAAGCGCAGTTACACTAAAAGCATATATTTGAAATAAATGTATATGAGCTATTCTTTTTTAAGTCGGACGTATTTCGCAAAAAAAATTATGTCATGTCTCCGATTAGTTCTTGAAAAAAAAATTACAAATAATTGTTGATTCTCATAAAATAAACCATCTCCTCATAAAGAAAAATATTTGAAAAACCCCTATTTTTTGTAAGCACATTTTTTATAAAGAATTAAACTAGGATTACGATGGTATAATTTAAAATCCCTAATCTACTGCAAATCAACTACAAAAAGTTCAACTGTTAATAGCTAAGTTAGCTTTAGGAAAATAGTGACCATTTTATATATATAAGGGTTAAGCCCGTTTCTTTAGCTTTAAAACGACGTTAAGATGAAGTCTCTACGATGAGCAGAACCCGAGATATAACGATTTGAAGAAGTATATAATTAGTCAGAATCACGAAAAAATGCAAACTTTGACAGATCATACCTCCGAAGAAAAAAAATAACAAGAAAAAAAATCCCCGAACATGTGAGCTTATTTCATGTATAGAACCCAAAAAAAAAATTTGCAGCCATTCGAAAGTGTGACACTAAATTTGGTGACCGATATGAAAAAGAATGTCTCATATATGTTTGAAGTCTGTATCCTTCAATATGATTTTGAAGAACTAAACAAATAGATGTGCTGAGCCTCCCTAATTCACATATCTACATACATATACAGTGAAACCTCCCTTGGGCGGACACTCACCGTCAGTCATTTTTTGTCCGCCCAAGAGAGGTGTCCGCCTATTTTAGAACTTTTTAATGTTTTAATTAATTGAATAGTCACTATTTCTTATTTGAATAAAAGATATTGATATTACATCGTTCAAACAAAAATGTGCATGTATTTTTTTCAAAAGTGCACATTTCATTTATGTGCTTAAGTACATATTAAGTAATAACTAAATAAAAATAAATATTACATTTTAGTCCATAAACTACATAAAATCATAGATTCATTACATAAAAAACTGGGAAATTGTCGATTGACGTAAGTTATATTTTTAATTTTTTTCAGTGTCAGTACCTTTTTCATCAATAGTTTTCATGTTTTTATCAGTCTCCAAGGGTTTCTGACAATTCAAATAACGAACCTAAACCACTGCGCAAACCAAACTAAATGTATGCATAACAATCACATATTGTGCGGGAAGTCCCCTTTTTCCATTTAGTAGTCCGCCTATGAGGAGTTCGCGTCCGCTCAACGGAGGTTTTTGTTTGATTTGTTATGAAAAGAAATCTTAATGTCCGTTGATAAGAGGTTCGCGTCCGCCCAATAGAGTTTTTGTGTCAATTTTATGCAAAATAACTGTCCGCGTCCGGCCAAGAGAGTGTCCGCTTAAGAGAGAGTAATTTGTTCCGAAATTTATACTTAAAACTTGGTATAGGAAAAAATGTCCGCCCAAGGGAGGTGTCCGTCTAATAGAGGTGTCCGTTAGGAGAGGTTTCACTGTATATTACATAACTAGTCCATGGTCTTCCACGAAAATTTTGAACACTTTTTGGAGTAATGTACATATTTACATATGCATTTCCTTTGCTCTGTGGCATATCTAACAGATTATTTTTTCCAGATTCCAATAACAATTTACGAAGAGCAATGCTATTATAATATTTGAGATACTGGGGTGCCCATAGCAAAACTGCAAAAAAAGAAGAAAACTAACCAAATTAGTAGTAGCTAAACAAATCTAGTTATGTTGAGCGCTAATAATACACAACAGTCTCAGCAACAACAACAACAATCACAATCAACACAGCAACATCACGCTCAACACCAGCACCAACATCAGCACCAGCATCAACAACACAATACACAGCAACATCAGCAACAGCATCAGCAGCAGCAGCAACATCAGCAACAACAACAGCAAACACAACAAGTATATAACGGCGACTTGAACTTTACCACATTTGCTGAACTTTGCCGCCTCTGCTCGATACGAAATGGTCCCGCCAAAATTCATCTCTTCGAGAAGGAGGCGGAGCAGAGGAATTTGGTCTACAAACTGCGCACGCTAATGTCAACAAATGTAAGTGTGAATGAAAATGCATACTGGTACTTACATATGTATAGATATCTTCTTTTGTATTTACCTTAGGGTGGTCCTTAAAATATCAAATAGATGATTTTTCTGTCTCATCCCCTCAATCGGTAATACCACGGTCACAGATATCACATATCGATGGCTGAGTGGAAGATCGACCTATCTCTGCAGCCAGTTCGAAAACGCTCTATCTCAAAAAACTTTTCAAGAACGCCCTATTTCAGAATTCGTTTCAAAAACGCCCTATCTCAGCTGCCGATTCAAAAACGCCCTATATCAGCATATTTTCAATACATTTTGAAGTAAGATAGGGCGTTTTTGAACCCAATTTTGAGATAGGGTGTTTTTCAATTAAATTCTGAAATAGGGCGTTCTTGAAAAGTTTTTTGAGATAGAGCGTTTTCGAACTGGCTGCAGAGATAGGTCGATCTTCCACTCAGCCATCGATATATAAATTTTTTATATAAATTTTGGAATTATTTTGGAAGTTATAGCTGTTACCATTTTTCGAAATTGTTTAGATTTTAGTTGTTTTCTCGCGATTGGTAATACCGATTCTGCCCATATTTTAAACAGTTGAGAATAATGGCGTTTTCTTCCCATTTTTATTTTTTATTTGGCCAAACATTTTTTAATAAAAGTTATTAAATTGTTTTCAAATATTACTGACATCTCAATGGCTTTAAAATCGCGCTTTGGGCTAATATTGTTGTACGCTCTATTAGTAATTATTTGTGGAAAAATATTTGTCGCAATGCATCAAGACAAAAGTTATTTGCGCTTTTCTCTTGACGCCAAATTTATTTTGAATTGTGTGAAATTTTGTTTTATCGTTGCGAAGCATAAACACATAATTGCTCGAAAAAATGGTGGCCCACTTCACAAATTTTTACTCTACTACTAAACTCGAGGATATCACATATAAATTTTGGTCCCGGTTAGAGTCGGTTAAGACGTCTTCATAGTGTAATTTGAACTTTAACCCCTGTGCTACACGCCTTAACCGTTTCCAGTCGTGATCGAAATTTATATGTGATATCTTCGACTACGGTAGTATGATTTTGGATCTTAGATGAAAAAAAAAATTATTTTAATTTTTTGAGTCTCCATCGAGGAATCTGAACTTTGCCCCCTTTGCGACATGCCTTAACCGTCTCTAATCGGGGACCAAAATTTATATGTGATATCTTCGACTTATAGTAGCATCGACGGAGGGGTTTAGGCTTAGGAAATCGGATGTAAAAATTAGCTTCCAACATTTAAGGACCACCCTAATGTACATAAATACATATTTTTTTATTTTTTTCATATTCTCAAAATGGACTACAACGACTAACTAACTGCATACATATGTACATACATTACACGAACTAACAAAAGCGAACAGTAGCTTTGTATAAGTTTATCAGAGCCCTGCATGACTAACATTAGTAAGCTAACGTAAATTTTGTAGTCGTTCGTTTCGCGATCCTACTGCATCGATATCGAAACCAAGAACACACTGGAAAGGTATTTTACTGTAGAAGGCGAAAATTTGTATGGTTTCAAAATTGGTTGCAAATGACCAAAATCGTAATTTAAAAGTTATAAGGATAAATGTGAAGATGGATAAAGAAATGATAAAAACGATGAAGACAGAAAAGTTAAGGCAAAATTGAAGATAAAGACGAAAGTGAAAACAATGAGTAATGCATACACATATACATTTGCCTAAACCCTGCAGAAAAAAATTTTCAATTGATAAAAAATAACGTACTTGTAATTAGCCTTTATGCGGGATTTCTATAAAATATATAACTTGTGGTTAGCTACAAAAAGCTAACTTGAAACAAGTGGACAAGTAATGCAGGCATCGGCGTAGCCAGAATGAAATTTAGTGGGGGGCTCGACCCTATTAAGCTGGCATTTCAGGGTACTACTTTATATATATACAAGGAAAATTTGAAAGTTAGGAGGGGGGCTCGAGCACCCCCCTGCCCCTACCTGGCTACGCCCATGAATGCAGGAGTAAAGCTCGAGATTGCTTTCTTTAAACGCGTTTCTATTTTAATATCCTGCACTTCGCAAATACTTTTTCCAATTGAGTACAAATAAAAGGGAAATCGAAATTTCATATTATCATTTTGAAGTTATGTCTGACGGAGTTCGAATATGGGACCACCTACAGGAGAATATAGAAACAAATGTGAAATGTTATAAAATAAATAAAGTAAATAAAAATAAAATATTTTGTTTTCCTATTGATATTTTATGACCAACAGTAGTTAGTTACAAGTTAGTTGCATCAAATGCAGAGGTAAGCACCCTTGACTACATCTAATGCAGAGGTAAACCACCCTTGACTATTTTGCGGCCATCGCCATAGAAAAATAGTTAGCTATCGTCAAAGAAAATATACAGATATTAAGTGACTTTTAGCTCCTTCCTAATCAACATGAAGTTAGCTTATAGTTAGAAAGGCACGGTAATTTATTGAAATTTGTTGTTAAGAATCGAAATATATTCAGTCATCCAAAATTAAGCTACCGAAAGTTATTAAGTCATCAAAATTTATAGAGTCATCGAAGTTTATAGTTAACAAAATTTATCGGGTTATCCATGTCTATTGAGTTATCGGAATGTATGGATTTATTGAAATTGATCAATGTTTGTTCAGCTATCGAAATTTATCGAGACATGGAAACTTAGTTGTAGAAATTTACAGATAGTTATCGGGTTGTAAAAATTGATCGGATTATCGAAATTTGTCAAGTTACTGAAATTAAAATATTGTAGAGCTATAGAAGTTTATCGACTTAACGAAATTAATATATTTAGCGTAATTTATCGAGTTCTCTCAAAGTATCGGGGTATATATATTTATTGGTTTATCGAAATTTGACGGTCTATCAAATCGAATTTTCTTAATTGTTCAAAGTATATCGAGTTATCGAAATTTCTAGGGCTATATAAAATTATCGAGTTACCGAAATTTATAGTTATACATATATCGAAATATGTTAATTTTTGAGTTGTCAAAGTTTATCGGTTCGGTAAATTTTTTCATAGTTTTCGAAAATGTTCTGGCTATCGAACTTTTTTGTGTTATCGGAAGTTAGGGTTTGTAAATTCATTATATTGTTGAAATTTGTCGAGCTATCGAGAATTATCGAACTATCGATATATATCGCGATATCGAAATATAGAAAGTAAACAAAGTTAATTGATATCTAGCAAGATTTATCGAAAGATGTCGGAGTTCGCTGATAGGAATCGTATTTGATTTGCTAAGGGTGTATTATTTTCACATTTTCTTTACTTCGTACATATTCCGGTTTTGATTTTGTTTGGGGATAAGAGTAGGTGCACATATTTACAGATTGAATTTTGTTTAAAAAAAGAATGGGGTCCATCTTCGTTTGACGGTGTTACTGAATAAATTTTTAAGCAAGGTAATTTTCTGTAAATGACGAAAGTTTTTATGGGCTAAAAATTGCTTAGATTTTTTAATATTTTTTTGTAAGACGAAAAAGAACACAAACACGAAGACCAACAAATGCGAATTAAAGGACTAACACTAATATATGGGCGAATACGAATATATACAAAGATGGAGACAAGTATGAAAACGACTAAAAATACCAACTAAAGACGATCGAGGATTATGAAGACGATTACGAAAAGTAATACGATCACGAATACGAACACAATTACCGAGATGAATTCGAAGTAGAATATGAAAACAAAGCCAAATACGAAAACTAAGGACGAGGAAGAATACGAAGATACGAACACGAAGACAACCACGAATGAGTACGAACACCAACCGAAGAGAAATACGAATACAAGGTCAGCCATAAAACTGCATGTTCTGCCGAAATGGAGAAGTAATTTTGCGATTAACTGACACATCTAGTATGCATAAAATTAGGTGGTTAATAATAGTGATGGGTCGTATCGAGAAGCTTTGGGAATCGAGTAACTCGGTATCGATATTTTTCAGAATCAGGTGTATTTATTAACTTTTTTTTTACTTTTTTGGAAAAGTACTGATAGCTTTCAATTTACCATTTAAAACATTGGTATAATGTGACTGTTGTCTGTCTTCTGCGACCATTTCGATTTCAAGTTTCGTATTTCTACGTGTTTGGCGGAGCTTCTCCTTCAATTTCTGGTGAGCGTCTTGAAGTTGTCACCTAAAGTGGAGGATCTATAAATAGCTGTTTGGAGGACAGCGAGATGGAATTAACTCATCACTTTCTTCTCAGCTGCTCTGCTAAAGCCATTTTGATAAAACTTATGAATAAATATCTGAGGTGGACATCAGATTACTGCAGAACTTCTTCTTGAACATGCAGCATTTTTTCTGCAACCGTTCCAGCGTGAATTTTTTTTGTTTGGTGATTCCGCAACGGACAGTAATACTATATATAGGTCTGTCTTTAAATATATTTACATACATACATGTAAATACATTTTTTTTAAATTTTAGCACTCGTTTTTTTGCACATTTTCAGATATCCAAGGACGACTACCTTCCGAAGAATATCTGCGAAGAGTGTGTGCTTAAAGTGGAACAACTCTTCGATTGGCGACAATCGTGTTTGCAGATTGAAAATGTATTGCAGAACTATGCAGATTCGATGAGAGCGGTGACGGCGACTATTAACTTTCAGGTGAATGCGAAAAATATGTAACCAGTTTGTGTTGTAAAAAATTTTGATGTTGTGGTGCTTTCGACAAAAATTTGTTTGGTTGTACATAAATTACTTAAATTAAGTATACATATACATTCTCAGAATCTCACATATTCCTTAAATAAAAGTGTAGAGAGCTGCGAGTCCGGCGCTTCAAAAATGTTCTTAAAGGCTGGATTATACGAGTGGTATATTTGTACAAATTTGTATTTTTTTATTATTTTGACCTATTGGCAAACTATTTCTTTAGCAGTGGTCAAATGCCCAATCGTCTGACGCTTTTTATGAATTTTTTTTTAATGAAATTGCTTACCAAAGGAGGACTCTTCGATGATGGTTGGTCCAGGAAAGTACACAACTTTATCCGCTCGGCCATGTTGGTTACCCTAAAAAATCGTTTAGTAGTATATTCGAGGTTGGGAAGGTCAAGCGGGATTTATGCATAAACAGATGTAGCTGGTAGCTCTGGCATATTCAACGATGAGTCGGGAGACTGATCAGTGAGCAGCGAAAAATCGCTCAAGCTTCTCAACCTTGACGTACACTAGAGGTCCCAAATCACGAATGACCATCGTGAAAGAGGCAACGAGCTACCGCCTAGCCGGCCATTTAAGATAAGGCTAATCGGACAAGCGCCTTTTTCCTCGTGTCAAATCTTCAAGTCCTTTAAGCCATTAAAAGTTGATGAAAAATAATATGCGTTTTTATAATAAATATAGAGGAAAGTGTAAAGAAATAAAGATTTGCTTTTTACTCTTACAAACAGTGAGGAGGTGAGGTCTTAGCGTGAAAATTGTAATCTGGAAGTTTACGGTACTCTGATTTGATTTTATGTTAAGAATAACAAAATACGGTAGACTTCAGAGGGTTGCACATGTCGGGACTTCTGGAGCAGTGAGAACTTGTCCTCATAGCCACCTTCACATAAGTTTACACCACATCAGTTTCTAGTTTCTCGAATGCCGATAAGACTTTATAAATATAGCTCCATAGACCCTTTCAAATCCTACACAAGTCGAGAGCTTACCAGGACGAGAAATTTGATACCCCGGCCTCCATACATCAACTGTACATCGATAGCTCCAAAATGGAAAGCGGATTGTAAGCAGGCATTTTCTCTACATTTCTGGGAGAGAGAATATCAATTAATTTGCCTGGCTTTGCAAGTGTTTTCCAAGCAGTAGTCTTAACTAACGCTGAAGACTTACCTCTTTGAAAGCGTAGTAGTTTACGTCAATGTAAAAACGGAAGGGTCAGCTAACGGTTCTCGAGTCCTTTAAAATAAAGTCGAAGCTTTTTAAGGAGAGTAGAACTCTTTTGTATAGAGTTAGTAGTTAATGCGAACTCGATTTAGGCCGGATTCCTGGTTATCATAGAATTCTCGAAAATGAAGCTGATGATGTGGTATCCAGGGAGAATTTCAATGGAGGACCGGTTCTTATCCCAATCAAAACCAATTGAAAGCTAATTTTTCGCCGCAGTCTTTAGAAAACATGTCATAGGTAGAACATGACACCATATGAGCTGTACCCGCAAACACAAAAGAACACACAAACTATTGGAAAACTCAGACCTTACGTTGTAAAGTTCGTGATTATTATTACTGGTCCTTAACCGGACCCACTACAGGAGGTTAGGAAGGCGTGTACGAATAACTCATACTACCACTTGGAGGCAGTTTTGCCCATTCGAAATTTTCACCTCCGCTATCGCCCAAGCTATTGAAAAAAGCTATCCTAAACGCTTAGACGCCTTGCCTGCAGAGCCGGGTGTTGACATAAAAAGTTGTGAATCGATTCTGCTTCATCCTCATCCGGTCAACTTCTGCAAAGGGAGCTTGTTGATATACGCCATCGCAGGAGCATTGCTGCTATAGCACAGTGCCCCGTGATGACATTGGTAAGAGTCCTTACTGCAGTTTTGTTTAGAGAGAGAGAGTTTCTCAGTACAACTTTTATTAAGTCTCGTCCACAAGGATCTTGAGCTCGTCCCGATTGATCCATAGGTCATTAGTTATGGCTGTGGTGTATTCTTCGGTGGCAGTAGGGAGTTATCCGCTTCGCTAAATTTGTATTTCCCAGCCGTGTCTAGCCATCTCATCGGTTATTTCGTTCCCTTCTATACTGAT